GTGGGCGGGTGCTGCAGGCAGCCTGGGGTGGGGGTGCGGGTGGGGCTGCTGGGGTGGGCGGCCTGGAGAGAGCGGGAATGTGGGGAGGCCGGGGAGGAGAAAGCCTTGTCGGGGAGGAAGAGGCTCCTGTGACTGAGGGTGACTCCTGGCAGGTTCTGGACCACAGCAAGCGGTGGTGGCTGGTGAAGGACCAGACGGGAGACAGCGGCTACGTTCCCAGCAACATCCTAGAGCCCCTGCCGTCGGGGTCGCCCAGGAGCCAGAGCCCGGCCCTTCGGGTACTCCAGGGCTCAACCAGCCTCAGCTCTGGGGCCAGAGCGGGTGGGGCGGGGGCCTCGGGGCCATGGAGAAGGCCGTCCTGGTTGACTTCATGTCATCGCGTGCTCACGTGGCCGAGCTTATCGGGAGCCGGAGCCGAGGCTAAGCCTGGGCCCTACCTGCCAGCATCCCAGAGCAGGGCCCAGGCGATGGGGGCCCTGGGGGCTCTGGGAGGAGTTGGTCTCTGACTCCCAGTGCCCCCAATTCTAGGCCCCGATGCTGCGACTGAGCTCCAGGCCCGAGGAGGTCAGAGCCTGGCTGCAGGCAGAGAACTTCACCCCTGGGTGAGCGCCTCGCCCTGGGGGTGCGTGGGGGGCCTTGGTGGAGGGTTCAGACAGTAACCAAGGAGACCCAGAACCCCAGGACCTGCCTCCTATCTCCCCGCTACCTACACGGTACTTACATGGTACATGACAGTCCCACACATGTTGCCTGGTCACAGCAGAAGAGGGGCTGTGTTCATGCCTAAGTGGGGAGCCCTTGCCATGGGGAAGGCAGTAGGATTGGGGGAACACAGAAGGAACCTCAGCTGCTACCCCCTGCTCCCCCACCCCACCTACCCCGACAAGATTTTCTTCCCTGCACACCTCCCTCCAGACCAGGAGTCTGAAATTGGTTTAAGCCAAAATTCATAGGTTACTCCTTCACCTCCACACACCCTATTCCATGAATTTTCCCGCAACCCCAGCCTCGGAGCCCAAGTCCCCTGCCCACACTGACGGCCTCTGTCTGTCCCCAGCACCGTGAAGACCCTTGGGGCCCTGACGGGGTCGCAGCTGCTGTACCTGAGCCCGGGGGAGCTCCAGATGGTGTGTCCAGAGGATGCCCCCCGGGTCATGGCCCGGCTGGAAGCCAGCAGAAGGATGCTGGGGGTGAGAACACCCTGGGAACCCGAGTGGAAATGTGGGGTGCTCCCTGGGTGACAGTGAGAGCCAGCAGGCCCGCCCTAGGGATGAACTGAGCGTGGCAGGTTCTGGGCACGGGCTCTTCCCCCAGGGACTTGACAACATGGGCTCAGGCAGGCCTGGAGGTCCAAGCAGTGTCCACAGGACCTCGGAGGGTGGGGGGGTCCTTCCCTCATCTCCATCCTTCTTTCCTCAGATAAGCCCTTAGGCACCAACTCTGACGTCTCCAAGATCAAGGCCTTCTCACAGCCAGAGGATACGATTCTCTTTAGAGCCCCAAGCAGTCCTCTTGCAGGCCCCCAGATTGCAGCGAACGCCACACCCAGCTCACACAGCAAAGAGGATGAGCAAGCCCAGAGGTTGGGCGGATGGTGCCCTCTCGCTGCGTGGGGAGCCCTCTCTGGCGACCATCTATTTATTGTGTCTGTCCTAGACCCGGAGCACGCGTGCCTAGCTTTGTCAAGATGCCGCTGAGTCCTCTCCTCCCCAATAAAAGCATCTCCAAGCCTGGCATGCGCCCCCCTTGCAGCTTCTTCTGGGCCTGAAGGGGGGGTGGGCAAGGGAAGGGAGGCAGGAGGAGCTGGGACACTGGGCGGGACCCAGCACAGCCCTGCACCCATCACTGGACCAGACTGAGTGGGAGTGGGAGTCCCACCGCCACCTGGAACGCAGAGCTAGCCTTTGAGATGATGGCCCTCTTTCTGAACAAACTCCCACGATGCTCACCATCGTTGTCCTTCTGCGCACATTGTTCCGGTGAATCCCAAGGCCAAGGGCAGGGCGCTCCCCAGGACCAGAGTCCGGGCTGCGGACAGCGGGAGGCTTTGATCAGCCGCACTGGCTGCTGGTCTGCTGGGCAGCTGCCTCCTTGGATACCATTTCTGTCCCCTCCTGGTGGGCGAGCCGACCTTGAGCTGCCTCCCAGCTTGTCTCTAGAGGCAGAATGTAGGGAACGGTGGACTGGAAGTTCAAAGTCCACCAACTGGCTGGCAAGGCACCTCACTCTCTGGGCCCTATTTTCTCAAAGATTAGTGAAGAGTTTCAGCACTAATGTGGCTTCTAGGATTTAAGGTACACAGCACAGGCACTTCTACGGATTCAGTCTACACAGAAGGCCTGATGTGCTGTGGATCAAGGGCCCCTGGAGTTCTTTTTCTTTTCTTTTCTTTTCTTTTGTTACTCCTCACCCAAGGATATTGTTCCCATTGATTTTTATTGAGATTGAGTGGAAGGAAGGGGGAAAGACAAAGTCAATGTGAGAGAGACACATCAATGGGTTACCTCCTGCACATGCCCCAACCGGGGCCGGGGATTGAGCCTGCAACCAAGGTACGTTGCCCTTGACCGAAATCAAACTCGGGACCCTTCAGTTCTCAGGCTAACGCTGCAACCACTGAGCCAAACCAGCTAGAGGCACCCTGGGGTTCTTAGAGGTTTCCATAAGTATCTCTTAGCTGGATTTGTCCAGGACCTTAACATGGCTGAGGCCCCAGATCACCGGAGGTACAAGACCGCCTACGTCACTTCCTGGAGTTTCCAGCCTCAGAATATCATCTCTTTTCCCTCAAGCGAAAACAGTTCGAGACCCTCGGGGTTTGACACTCAAGGGCAAAAGTTAATCAGAAAGTTAATGTCTTGGGATGGGGAGGAGATATTAAGCCACTGTCCTCTGGGCCGGTGGACCTGCAGGCATCCTAGGAAAAGGGACACACTCCAGGACCAGGAAAAAAGGGCTTTAGCACTGTGTCCCCCAGATTTCCCAACAAAGACTGAGACGAGGTGAGGGGCTGCCCGGATGTCCAGTTCAGTGGAACTAACATGAGCTGCACTTAGACCTCAAACTCTCATGAGAATTTGAGAGCTTAGAATGGCAACTCACCCAACCCCTCCAGGCCTCCTTTATCTCCTTCTGTAAAATGGGCATAACATCTACTTCGCAAAGTTGTGAAGCTTAACATACATGAAGTACCTGGATGACTGCCTGGCATTTCACAGGAAGTGACTGGATGTTAGGCCTATACCTCAGACGAATTTGCGACTGGCTGTTTGTTATCTTGGGAGGAGAGATTCGGCCGTTAGGAATGTATCTATCTGTCCCTGTGTGTTGCACTTTTTTTTCTTTCTTCTTTTCAGTGAAATGTCCTTTTAAAAAGTCCCAACCTTGCTTCAGCCAGACTAATGGAGAAATAGGATTTCCCACATCGGGCGAGGCAGGAAAGGATTTGGGGTCCTAAGTGGCGGGGGCTGGGTAGACCCTGGGGGCCAGGAACCTTGGAGTAGCTCTGGCCTCCTGCCCACCCACCAACATGCACACACAAGGGTGGGGTTCCCGGGTGATCAGAGGCACAGCGTTGCCCACCTTCCCCCTTGCCCCCCAACCAAGTAAATATCTCACTCTCCCGGGGTTACCCTGACTGCTCCGCTGTGGGCGCTCTTCCCACGCTGTGGGCACCATTAACGAGTGCAGCTCCCACCCTTGGGGAGCGCAGAGTCCCAACCCCAGGTCCCCAGGCCCTCAGCCCCCCAGCACGCGCGCTGCACCCCTCCCGGGGCCTCGGGACTGCAGAAGCCGAGCCCGCGCGTGGCCCAGGGGACACGTTAGGAGGGAACCCGGCGGGGGGCGGGGTCCGGCTCTCGCGTTGGCCCCGCCCACCACCTCGGGTATAAATACCGCCGCCCGCTCCGCGCTCGCCAATTTAACCAAGGATGTAAAAAAACCTATACTAACAAAATTATAAGACACTGAAAAAGGAAATTGAAGAAGATACAAATAAGTGGAAGCATATATTGTACTTATGGAAGGAAAGAATTAACGTAATTAAATTGTCCATACCGTCCCTCGGAAAGGACATCACCATGTCGTGCTCTAAGTCCATGGTCCTCGGGTACTGGGATATCCGCGGGCTGGCGCACGCCATCCGCCTGCTCCTGGAGTTCACCGGCACCCGCTACGAGGAGAAACGGTACACCTGCGGGGGAGGTAAGGCGCGTCCGAGCCCCGGGGGCGGCATCGCTCCCACCCAGGGCGAGGGGTGCCCCGTCAGCTGGGAGCGCGCACCTGCAGCTGGGCTCTCTCCGCCCAACCCCGTCCTCACCCTCCACCAGCGCGGCCCCAGCGAGGAAGGGGTCAGGCAGGGGTGGGGATGCTCCTGGGACAGGCTCTTTCCCAGCGCTTCCCACCGCCCTCGGGCGGGAAGGTACGGAGGTCCGTCCCACTTCGTTCTCTCTTGCAGCTCCTGACTTTGATAAAAGCCAATGGCTGGACGTGAAATTCAAGCTGGACCTGGACTTTCCCAACGTAGGTGATTTAGGAGAAGGGGCCCGGAGGGAAGGCATCACCTGGACCCCCCACTTCTTCCCTCTCTGGCCTGGGGGTTGGGGGGGCAGGGGGGGCAGGCATCTACAGCAGGGGCTCTTCGCCTGGATAGAATAAACAGCCTTCAGGGGCTCAAGAACTTGGAGAGAAGAGTTACTCTCACTTCCACAAAGCACTAACTAAAGTCACCAGTTGCTTCTATTGTGCATATGAGCAGTAAGTGACGCTGGTTATGGCCATGTTTGTGGCTTTGTCACTAGTAGAAATCGGGTATTTTCATAGTCTATTGGATATGTGGTAGGTATTGTAAATAAACATGTACATCCATCACACTTGGACATTGTGGTAATTATTACCCCTGCTTGCTATTTAATTCACTAATAGGCACATATTACTGTTACAATTTTGTTTTCTTAATGTTTTTATAAATTGTGTAAATATGTGTAATTTGCTTTATGCCTTTAAAAAACTTCTGCAAGAAGGGTCCATGGCATACACACACACACACACACACACACACACACACACACTTCCACATTTTAAGTGTGAAATACTTAGGAGAAAAATATAAAACTGAAAAGCATCACAGGGCATCTTCCCTCTACTGTTCATGTCCCTGCAATTCTCACCTGCCCCCGGAGACAGGCAGCTTGTTCATTTCACCTTTTCCTTCCAGCTGCCCTACCTCATGGACGGCAAGAACAAGATCACCCAGAGCAACGCCATCTTGCGCTACATCGCACGCAAGCACAACATGTGTGAGTGGGTAGGGCTGGGCACGGGGACAAGGCTGGCCGCTCTCTGGGGGGTGGATATGCCCAGGGTGATTGCAGATCCCCATCTGGCCTACAGGTGGGGATACTGAAGAAGAAAAGATCCGCGTGGACATCATGGAGAACCAGATCATGGACTTCCGCATGCAACTGGTTCGAATCTGCTACAACTCGGACCATGTGAGTCTCCCCGGCAGACAGGCGTGAGGGAAAGGATCCTTAGGAACCCAAGGTCAAGTCTCCATTTTCCTGCCACCTTCCCACCAACCCAAGCTGTCGGAATAGGAAGCAGAACTCTGACTTGGTGGGGGTTTGTCATAAACTGTGGTGTTGGCCCTCTTCCATTCCAAACCCCTCCTGTGCATCCTGCCATCCCAACCTGAGGCACCTGGAGAGGAAGGTGCCTGGGGAAGGGGCCCTGAGCCCCAGTTAGCTGTGAACATGATGACAGCTATTCTCTCTCTCTCTCTCTCCCCCCTGCCCCCAGGAAAAGCTGAAGCCCCAGTACTTGGAACAGCTCCCTGGACAACTGAAACAGTTCTCCCTGTTCCTGGGGAAATTCTCGTGGTTTGCAGGGGAGAAGGTAGGAGGAGGGGAAGGGAGAGGATCGCTCTCTGTCGCTGCAGGTGCTCATGAACTCCCCCGACCTCACCGTCTTCCTGTGTCTCTAGCTCACCTTTGTGGATTTCCTCACCTACGATGTCTTGGATCAGAACCGTATGTTTGAGCCCAAGTGCCTGGATGAATTTCCAAACCTGAAGGCTTTCATGTGCCGTTTTGAGGTGATGGAGGCTCCCTACACCTTTCTCTTACAGAACACACTCACAGGCTCCCCGGGACCCCAGGGACCCCACTGTGGTGGGTCTTGCCCAACGCCAGCTTTTGCCTCGAGGGATCCGTGGTTGGGCACCTCCAGACCTTTCTGTCTTGGGAGGGTCCAGCTACTGTACCCCAAAGGGGGGTGGGGCCAGGCAGCTGTGAGTGCCGCTGTTAGAAACGGGCCTTCAGGCTGTGCTGGTCCCTGAGGCTTGGGGTGCTTCCCCTGCAGGCTTTGGAGAAGATCGCGGCCTACATGCAGTCCGACCGCTTCTTCAAGATGCCCATCAACAACAAGATGGCCCTGTGGGGCTGCAAGAGAATATGCTGAGCAGGAGGCTGCCTCCCACCGCTTCCTCTGCCTCCTCCTGCCCCCGGGGGACCTGTGTGCTTTTTTCTCTGCTCTGCTCAATAAATAGCCCTTAGGCTACTGGTGTCCCACTGGCTCTCTCTAGGGAGGAAAGGCCGCAGGAGAGTGAGGATGCGGGAGAATTATTACCAAGATGTGGCTCAGTCCCTGCAACACTGACACTCCCATCCCCCAGTGTGCTCAGTGGCTACTATAGAGGGTCTTGCCCAAGCCTTGAGGGTGGGCACTAGAAAGGT